CACTGACCCCATCATTGAGGCATTTATATATACAATATTCCAGTTTTTGTACCCTCCAACTTTCTTTCTTACTTGGTAACCTGCTTGAAATTTTAAACCAAGCCCTTTATTAGTTGATTCTTCTCATTCAACTTTGTATATTTAGAGGATATCTTATTTCAGTTAATATTCTTTGCTCTATTTTGGCTTTTGTTTCTGTTTCTTCAACTAAACTTTTCCATATCAGGGATTGAACTCAGTATCCAGGGAATATTTTTTAATCAATTCTTTAATCAACCATGTAATATGTCTCTCAGGTCAGATGAGTCAGTAACCAAGTGGCATATCTACATGTTGTAACATAGAGAAGGTTACAGAATAGAATAATCAAACAAAGGTTGCTAATGAATATTTAGGCACAAGAACAACACATATAAGAGTCACCAGCAGTGTGTAGAAGAAGTAGTCAACTAGTAGAAGTAAATTCCATAATGAATCTCCAACTGCAGACCAACATACAGCATTTACTACTATATTTATGTGAATGGGGACATACCCATTATTGTCTGCAGGTATACTACAACACTTATATATACCAGCTATAGATAGATATAGACAGATAAAAAAAAAGGCTTAGTTCATAATTCCATATAGGTTATCCAGATTGATATACACTTGATGAAGAATAGAGGTCATGACAATCAAAACATTTTGATTAACTCTTCATCCCAGAAATGTAGACAGAAATTAACTTTGATTATATTTGACAAATTTTATGATTAAGAAATTTTTATTATGTGTCATTCTGAGAACTCATTGTGACACTTAATTTTGTTGTTACCACATTGTTCTGGCTCATCTATTTTATAGTTTTCTTCAGATTTACAATCCTTAGAAAAGGTATTTTTTTCTGTAATTTTGAGAAGTGATTATCACTCCAAGAATTGTCTAGATTTCTGTTCCTCTTCTTCTTTTGGTTGAATGTGTTGTCACCTCACTGTTTCAGCTCATCCATTTTTCTTCTATTTGGTCACCTTTTTTCCTGTTAATGATAGACACAATCTGAAAAAGAGAAAAAAAAGAGAACTTTTCTTCTTTTATTCAGATTGTACACCTAAGGGAGGTTAAAGAATGGATCTACCTCAATGTAGTAATAGCAAAATAAATACAATCAACCCTCTCAATAACTCTTTCTTAGATTTCTTAATGATTACCTGTTTCATAGTTTTTAGGATGTTTTGAGCAGGATTTGGTAGTAGCTCAGTATATTTGAATCTTTATTATTGTAAACTAGGGAAGGTTACTGAATAGAATAATTAAACAAAGGTTGGTAATGTATATTTAGGCACAAGAACAACACCTATAAGATTCACCAGCAGTCTGTAGAAGAAGTAGTCAACTACTAGAAGTGAGTCAAGTGAATTCCATAATGAATCTTCAACTGCAGACCAACATACAGTATTCACTACTCTATTTATGTGAATAGGGACATATCCATTATCATCCATAGGTAAGCTACAATACTTACATATACCATCTATAGTTTTGATTTGGTAGTGGCTCAGTATATTTAAATAGGAAAGGTTACTGAATAGAAGAATCACACAAAGGTTGGTAATGAACAATAATACTTAGGACATGAACAACACATATAAGATTCACCAGCAGCACGTAGAAGTAGTAGTCAACTGCTAAAAGTGAGTCAAGTGAATTCCATAATGAATCTCCAACTGCAGACCAACATACAGTATTTACTACTGTATTTATGTGAATGAGGATATACCCATTATTGTCCATAGGTATGCTACAACACTATATGAGTAGTATTTGCATACTGTTAACCAGAAACTATCAGGGAATGATTTTGGGACTTGTGGATATCACTGTACATTTGAAACTCAAGGAGTGATTTTGATTGATTCATTTTTCATGGTTTATCAATCTTTTGCAGGTTATTTAAAGCCAGCATATTTTTTTAGATTGTAAGAATTTTTTTTTGAGCATTGGTTTGGTGATTCAAATCTTACTAATTAACCTATAGCTGATGGGGAGAGGTGGATTCATGCTTTGCACAAGGGTATTTGCACATAAGTGAATATAACGAAAATTAAAACTCACTTCTCTTACTAACAATTCCAAGCCATTATCCATTATACCAACCTGCACATCCAAGCTTACAGGACCTGGCATTCCGAACGGTCTCAAGGAGTGATCACAAGTTGAGGACAGTGATCAAGTGAAGATGACTGCAAGATCACAGGGATGCAATAACCAGATCTAATGTGGAGGTGGGAAAATGTACATGTGATTCCAAAATAACGTTCAACATCATTCTGGAACACAACAGTCACACGAGGAATGCCAGAAGATGCACACTCAAAACATTGCGAAAAGGACCAAATTGTAAATGGTGCAGCCATTTGTATCTGTTGTGGTAGGATCCACCTAATTTGCATAGTGGAGTACTGACCATATAAATATGGTTGGTACTGGGAAGAGAAGGAGAGGAATCAAGAGATTCAATCCAGATACTCTGCCCGACTGTGACTAAGTCAACACATTCTCCAGGAACGGTCTTCCCAGGAATATACAAAAGACTATATGTAAATATTGTGTACACTTTCTTGTTTCAATACATTTTGTTCTAAGTACATTTTGTGTTGCATTATTATTCCATGCATTAGTCAAGTTTCAACAGTATCCAAGAATGCCAGTCTATTAGAGTGGCTAGCTAATTCCCATTGCAGACACCAACTCAGGCATATCTGTGTTTGTTCAACACCTACAGAGCCCATGTGTGGTTTATACTGCAACTATGCTGAATGGACCTTAGTTACAGTTTCTGGGAGAGAGCACATTATCTAGCATAATCAACAGTCTGAACAAGGTCAGCACACTTAAACCCTCAGTCACGATAACTTGTGATCATGCTACTACTGATATTTGAAACCAGACCTGGACTCTTATCAAGTAGAATATAAGAATAGTAAGATAAACTGATTTAGTAAGAAAGATATATAAAAAGAGAGAGAAATAGGCAGCTTGGTTACCAAGCTTATCCAAAAGACCATTAGTACTGTAGCATGTACACTAGAGTAATTGATAGTAGCTTGAGGAATCAGAGAGTTGAGTTCAAATGTCACTTGAGATCATTACATCCACTTACATGCTAAAACCTGTGGGTAAGGTATATGAAAGCTTATGAATTCATCTCTTCTCCTGCAAGCTATGGGTTATAGACTTGCTCATATAGCCTTGGGTGACAAACATCAAAGATTCCCAAACAGTTCCATCGACTGAGTTTCACTCAGAAAGCTTGGGTCAACTCATGCAAGGGCTTTTAGGCACTTTCCAAAGGTGCCACACTATGGGATCGTTTCTTCCAGACTGATAACATCAAGAAGTCACCTTCCTGACAAATTGACCATAGTGAGATTTGAACCCGGGTCTCATGGTCAGAAAATGAATTTTTAACCACTCAGCCACCAAATTAATTCAAAGTAAATAGATATACTATTTTTTATCAGCTTCTCTTTGTGTATGTGTTTTTACAAGGGAGGGTACTGAAAAGTCTTGATTTGGCTTGTTTCCTTAAATTTGTTCAAAGGATTAAGTATAGAAATTCCTTAATCCCTTCTTGATCAAGCTGAGAACTTTTCACCATTCTTTCATATATATATATATATATATATATATATATGGGTGTGTGTAAGTTAGCTTGATTCATTTTGTATGGCTTATCAATACTTTGGAGGTTATTTAAAGTTAAAAAATATTTTTAGATAGTAAGATCTTTTTTTGAGATAATAATGGTCATAATAAGTTTTCCTAATTTACATTAATGTTGTTTTATTAACTTCATTGTCATTAAAATAAGTTTTCAATTTTTTGTTTAAAATTGTAAATTTTATGGATGTTCAGCTCTTACAAATTTTATTTGCAACGTAATGTTTCTTGGAGTTTTAATGAACTAACTGGTAAAGTGAGACTTGGAAAATTCAGGAAAATATATGACTCGTGCATGAAAAGGTTCTTTTTGTTATGTACGTCAGCAGTCAACAGAATGTCATGGAGGTTTTCTCATATCATAGCAGCAGAAATTAGCCTTGTGTTCACAGAGATAAAAGCATGCTTGACAGGAAATAAAACATACACAAATAACATAAAATGCATGGTAAATTGTATGTTAAAAATTCATCCAATTTATTTATATTTTTGTGTGTATTGGTGTGTTTATTTTTTAGGTTACAACTGTTTTATGGTAGATGTGATAAGAGGAGAAATTTACTCTATAGTATTACCAGCCATATCACAGAAGTTACACACGTGTTGCCCGTACCAAGGTTCATGGGAAGAGATTGAATTTAACGTCTTTTGGCGGGATGTCCATATTCCAGTTTTTGTTGCATGTTGGGAGTATTTTTATTATTTTTTATTTTTATTTAATTTATTTTTTTTATACAACATTTTTATGTTATTATTTTATTTTATTTTATTTATTCATTATTATTATTATTTTATATTTTATTCATATTTATTTATAATAATAATAATAATAATAATAATAATAATAATAATAATAATGTCCCTACAGACTCTTAATTCAAATTATATAAAATGAAGCTAAATGTATGAGGAAGAAAGAAGCATCATTTCACTTGTAAGTGTATAAGCTTGAATTTGACTGGTGACAAAGGTAGCAAACACTCTGCAGTCACTGTTTGATGTTAATGAGTGAACATAGGAGATTGATTGATTGAACAATTGATTTATTTTCTATGGCATATCAGCCATTTACAGGTTATTTTAAATAACCTGTAAATGGCTGATATGCCAGAAAATATTTTTAGGTTGTAAGAATATTTGGGGGAGCTAATAATGGTTTAGTTATAAAAGTCTTACTAATTAGTTAGGGGGAAGAAGAGGTGGATTCATAAATTTCCCAAGGATATATATAAGGAATATAACAAACCAAATAAGAAACTGGAACTCCGCTCTCCAATTAACAATGTCAAGACTATACCACCTGGTATTCCCAAGCAGTCACCCATCAAGGTATTGACCAGGCTCAATGTTACTTAACTTCTATGATCATACAGGAACCAGTGTTTCAACATGATGTGGCCATAAACCAGAACAAAGGCAAGCTACAGAACTTGAAGTATTTATTTTCTCAGCAGACAGACCTTTCAATTTTGAAAGATCAGATATTTTTCTTACCCACACTTTCCTCCAGTCTGGCTTTGTGCCAGGCTAAGCATACTAGTTAAGTGTTTGTGATGTTTTTATATATATATATATATATATATAGAGAGAGAGAGAGAGAGAGAGAGATTAACCTAGGAACTCAAGTAATGTTCTTAAATAACCTTATCAAATCTAGACTCTCATATGGATATTCCACATGATAATCCAAGAATGTTCAGAAATGTCTAAAATATAAGCAGTTTACAACCATATTCTTTGATCAACAATTAAAAATGGTTTTGAGTGGATGAATCATCCTTTGTCTTTCATCAGATCTTACAGCCTGATGCTACAGAATCACAAAGAACTTTACCAAATAACATAAACCATATCACTTGAAGACTTCTAACAGCTGCAACAACTAAAATGGATAGCACATGTTACTAGAAGAAAAAATAATGAAGATGTTGACATTCCATACTACCTTAAAACTTATAGTAAATGATATTCCCAAGTGTTCACCTGGTACTGACCAGGCTTGACTTTGGTGATTGTACAGGAATCCTGTTTCAACATAATGTGGGTTTAAACCTTATATATATGAGTTTTTGTATATATATATATATATATATATATATATATATATATATATATGCACAATAATTTTGATTAAAAAGAACCAAGATGATTTATCTGTTTAATTTTTTTTGTAATTTTCAGATAAGGTGCTGAGTATTGTCTTCAAAGTTATGGATAAACTGTACAAAGTTCATATTTTATTATTTTCATTCAAGTACATTTGACTTTCACAGTCATTATCAAGAATCAATGTGGTGTCTGTATAGAAGTTAAAATTCCTTTTTCTACATTCTGGTATTCTTTAGAAAGCTAGACATTTGGAATAGTCTAGTATGACATCATGTGTAACAGCTATTGGGAATGAGGCCACACAAAAAGAATGCGATATATTTATTAATTTAATTTACATTTTTATTTTAGTCTTATTTTTTATTATTATAATACCAATAAAATATGTGCGCTCATTCATTCACCACAGGTGAAGATATCTTGAAGTGCATAATATAATTAATGCGCATACATATTTTATCAGTATTATAATAATAAAGTAATAAAAATTTAAATTAAATTAAAATTGCATTCTTTTTGTGGAGTCTTGTTCCCAATAGCCATTACACATGACATCACACTAGACCATTTCTAACATCCAATTTTCCAAAGAATATGAACTAGCTGAATGAAGGAAAGATAGATTCCTGTTATTTCCAAAGAAATTAGTACAAAAGAGAACTCAACAGACTAACCCTGTATTTGAACTCTGTTCTGTAGTTCCACTTTCCACCATTACACTATCTAGATTTGTTGTAACTCAAGCCAAGAGAATCCAGCCTATCCTACTATTTAACACTTAGAAAAGAAAAAATATAATAATTCTTTTCCCAAGGAAACTTGTGTAAAAGATAACTCAAATGACTAGCCCTGTATTTGAACTCTTTTCTCCAGTTCCACTTTCCATCCTGATAATCATTACATTATCTAGATTTGTTTTCACTCAAGCCCAGAGAATTCAGCCTCTCCTACTATTTAACACTTAGCTGAGGGAAGAAGAAATGGATTAATGCTTTTCCCAAGGAAACTTGTGTAAAAGAGAATTCAACTGACTAGCCCTGTACTTGAACTCTGTTCCACTTGCCACAATTATTACCATTACACTACCCACAGTCAAAAAACAACCAAAAAGAAAACATCTCAGCAGGTAATGCTTAATTAAGCAGCTGTAGTCTGATATGTATTGTATTTGTATGTTATCTGCTAAGTAAGACACCTGAAGATAGAGTCTGTATGTTATATAGTCAGTTTTATTTGAAAACAAGTGTCAGCATCTCATTTGTGAATTATGGGATGAACAGAACATTAACTGACAATTCATTATTGTATTTATTTAACAAAAGATTTTGCTTCTGAATTTTACATTATTGTTTAGTCTTGAAAGTAAATAATAGGACAAAGTTGCAACTCCCCCATCCAATCACCACCTCTCAAAAAAAAATAAAATAAAATTAAACATAAAATAAAATAAATAAAAATAAAATAAATAAAAACAAAAATAAATGGAGCAGTCATTTTTGTCTCACATTGTTAAATTGATAGAGAAGAAACTTGGCACTAGTTTGTTTCAGTCTTTTTTATTTTTAAATTGTTAATGAAATTTACACTGGATTAAATGGGGGACGTAAAAGGGAAAGAAATAAGTGTAAAGAAAGACAAAAAGAATAGATGAGAAAAAAGAGAGAGAAAAAAGACAAAGAGAAAGATTTTTTTAGGGAAGATGAAAGAGTAATAGAAACATGGAAAGAGAAATCAATAGATTTTGAGATAGAGTAATTACAATGAAAGAAAAATGAGAAAAAAAGAAGTAGTGTTAACTATTGTTTATTGTAACTGGAATAACCAGTTATCTCCCCCTTCCCAACTTAATGGACTGTTCCTATCAGCACTGGCAGCAGCAGGAGCATAGACTTGCATCCCCTTCTGCACGGGGTGGATTAGGTCATTAGATAATATTTAAACTGCTGCAATTTCTCTCTTGGCACTTTAACTTCATTTACCAAAAGGAACTACTGATTTTGAAACCCGACCTGGACACTTATCAAGTAGAATATAAGAATAGAAAGATAAACTGATTTGGTAAGAAGGATATATAAAAAGAGAGAGAAATAGGCAGCTTGGTTACCAAGCTTATCCAAAAGACCATTAGTACAGTAGAGTACACACTGGAGTAATTGATAGCAGCTTGAGGGCCATGTTCAAATGTCACTTGAGATCATTACATCCACTTACATGCTAAAACCTGTGGGTAAGGTATATGAAATCATATGAATTCATCTTTTCTCCCCCAAGCTATGGGTAAATATTAGTATAAACTGGCTCATATAGCCTTGGGTGGCAACCACTTTAAGAGAAGGACAAATCTGAATTCAAAACATGAGGGTCTAGTGTACAGATTGAGGGTGACACATCATATTCTGTAGTCTTCATCTGTCAGTCATGAGCTTGGAGAGTAAATTGTTAACACCAAGCTATCTGGAGTTATGGATAGCAGCTCAAATTGAATAATTAGAGAGCCAAGTTCAAATTCTAGTCAAGATCATTATATCCACTTATGTTCATGGAAAAGGTATGAATTCATGTCTTCTCTTCCTAGCTATCGGTAAATAGTAGTATAGGCTGGTTCATATAGTCAACCAGTCTAGGAGAAGGACAACTCTGAATTCAAAACCTGAGTCATAATTGGTGTAGTTGGTCACCTCTAAACTATCTGGAGTTATGGATAGCAGCTCAAATTGAATAATTAGAGAGCCAAGTTCAAATTCTAGTCAAGATCATTATATCCACTTATGTTCATGGAAAAGGTATGAATTCATGTCTTCTCTTCCTAGCTATCGGTAAATAGTAGTATAGGCTGGTTCATATAGTCAACCAGTCTAGGAGAAGGACAACTCTGAATTCAAAACCTGAGTCATAAGCTTGGTGTGTAGTTGGTCACCTCTAAACTATCTGGAGTTATGGATAGCAGCTCAAATTGAATAATTAGAGAGCCAAGTTCAAATTCTAGTCAAGATCATTATATCCACTTATGTTCATGGAAAAGGTATGAATTCATGTCTTCTCTTCCTAGCTATCGGTAAATAGTAGTATAGGCTGGTTCATATAGTCAACCAGTCTAGGAGAAGGACAACTCTGAATTCAAAACCTGATTCATAAACATGTGTAACCTCTAAACTATCTGGAGTTATGGATAGCAGCTCAAATTGAATAATTAGAGAGCCAAGTTCAAATTCTAGTCAAGATCATTATATCCACTTATGTTCAAAAAGGTATGAATTCATGTCTTCTCTTCCTAGCTATCGGTAAATAGTAGTATAGGCTGGTTCATATAGTCAACCAGTCTAGGAGAAGGACAACTCTGAATTCAAAACCTGAGTCATAAGCTTGGTGTGTAAAAACTATCTGGAGTTATGGATAGCAGCTCAAATTGAATAATTAGAGAGCCAAGTTCAAATTCTAGTCAAGATCATTATATCCACTTATGTTCATGGAAAAGGTATGAATTCATGTCTTCTCTTCCTAGCTATCGGTAAATAGTAGTATAGGCTGGTTCATATAGTCAACCAGTCTAGGAGAAGGACAACTCTGAATTTTGAGTCATAAGCTTGTGTAGTTGGTCACCTCTAAACTATCTGGAGTTATGGATAGCAGCTCAAATTGAATAATTAGAGAGCCAAGTTCAAATTCTAGTCAAGATCATTATATCCACTTATGTTCATGGAAAAGGTATGAATTCATGTCTTCTCTTCCTAGCTATCGGTAAATAGTAGTATAGGCTGGTTCATATAGTCAACCAGTCTAGGAGAAGGACAACTCTGAATTCAAAACCTGAGTCATAAGCTTGGTGTGTACTGGAGTTATGGATAGCAAAAATAATTACATTATAGTGGCAAGTTTTCCATATTCTAAAACATCAAATTCCGAGTTCTTCTATGACAGTAAATTTCAATTTTCTGTTTTTGCTTCAAAATTGTAAAAACATGTGAAAAACAGAGACTTGTGTGTAAACAGTAAAATTTACAAATATATAGCCTACTTATGTAGGCATCTTTTTTGTGTGTGTGTGTTTCCACAATTTTTGATGATCCACAAGCATGTCCCTCTGAGGCCAATCTATGGTGTGTTGACCAAAACTGCAAAATAATTTATCAACATCATGATAAAAATCACTAGAACTATGTGATTGACTAATTACTGGTCTTAGTGACTGTGTTCATGTTTCTTGTTTCAGGTATTGTACCGTTCTAGCCTACCTTAGGCATTTGATAGATGTTGTTGAATCTTGTCTACTTTCCCTTTGAGAGACTTCCAACT